GAGAGAGAGAGACAGAGAGAGAGGTGTGTTCTTTATCTGCAGAGATTTAGTTTCAGAAATATTTTTCAGAACTTACAGATGACATGTTTCCTCTTAAAGATTTTAGGTGCCTTGCTATTTCCTAACTGTTTAATTAGTTTTGATAACCAGCAGTCCCTGTCCTGTGTGTTTAAAATCATTTGGAGACAGATTCATTTTAATGAAAATTTATTTGCCTGTCTTCGGCTACAAAAAAAATAAATTGTTCATTGTATACTTTATGGCTAGTGTCCTACAGGACTTCTTCTCTAGGGTTTCAAATGCTTCTTTAACTGCTCATAAATCAAGATCAATGGTGCAGAAGATGACTGTAAGTGATGAGCTTGCTAATGAATTATTTTTCTTTTCCTAATTAGTTATTTCTTCCTGCGTTCTAGGATGCCCAGTGTGGTGAAGGGACCAGAACGAGAAACATTTCTTGTGTAGTGAGTGATGGGTCAGGTGATGATTTCGGCAAAGTGGTGGATGAAGAATTCTGTACTGACATTGAACCCATTATAGAGGGTAATAAAAAAATGGTTCTCGAGGAGACCTGCACCCAGCCTTGCCCAGGTAACAATAACAAAATGTTATTCATAGTTTGGTCATTTCTTACTAGACCTAGGATAGAGAAGAGGTTGCACTTGCTAGTCTAAGTTAAGACATGTCAGCAAGTCTTCTCATTCAGTAGTATCTGTGTCAACAACTGGATACGTAGCGTGGATGCAGGTGTTACTGCCTTGTTACTGCCAACTCAGGGTGAAGTCCAGGTCTCCCGTGTGGCCTCTGCTGTCACCCTGGGGTTCTAACACCCGCAGAGGAGGGCAGTTAAGGCCTTAGGCTCCTGCTTGACAGGGAACGTATGAAAGGGAATTTGTATCTATTTAGGATTTCCAGGAGAGAGAGAAGCAGGGTTTTAACACAAATGGCTAACAAAAGATTTAAGTCCTATAATTAATGAAAACTTACTTTGGGTCCTGAAAAGAATCAAAAACAAAATCACACCTAGATACACTGTAGTTAAAACACAAAATGTAGAAAACTAGAGAACTAGTAAAGCATGCAGAAAGAAAAAAAAAGAGTACTTACAACTGGAAGGCAATCAGTTAGAATCATAAAAAATTCTTCTTAGTTACAATGAAAGTCCGAAGACAATGGAATATATGCACAGTGTGATGGAAAATAGTCATGAGCCTAAAATCCTTTCCCCAGCAAAATCATTCGAGAGTGAGAAAAAAATATTATGGAAGAAAATATTGAAAGAAATTACCACAATTCAGAGTTGGACACATGGGTTCATGCAGTAAAATGTGGAAAGCAAATATCGTATATCAAATAGTTTAGAAATAATTGGAAGACAAGATAAGCTAATATTGGAATATATCAAATATCAAATAGTATATCAAATAGTTTAGAAATAATTGGAGGACAAGATAAGCTAATATTCAGGAAGTTGGGCTTGGTGCAGAGAACTGTAGGGTAGACAGAAGATCAAAATAAGCTCAACATCAAGCATGAGCCTAAGGCTTTGAGAAAGATGGGGGCAACAATTTATTAGTAGATGAGAGAGAAATAAGACTGGAAGTAAATGGCCTGTATTTCACCCTCAGTGGAAAGTTTTTATTCTCCACTTTGCTTATAATTATGAGAAGAAAAAAATTGATCTCTTTAAGGAATGTGTTATTTTGAATAAGATCCCCAAAAAATAAAAATAAGGATTTGGCAAACAAATTTTGACTGGAGACATAAATAGACTACCTAAATAAAAAAGTTATGGTTTAAGGAAATTTTAAAGATGGAGGACATATTTTCAAAAGTTTATTTTAATGGATTGAGGTCTCTAAATGCTGTAAAAAGCTTACGATATGGGTTGCTCATTCTCTCATTAGTTTATTCATTCTTAAGTAAATTATTTGAGATGATAATATTGGCACTTTCTATAGTTTATTAAGATGAACTGAATAAAATTAAAACAGAGCAGTAAAGTAAAATAATCCCTGATATTTTGAACTATATGCTAGATTTTGAGGGCATTCCTCACAACCGTAACAACAGCCTTTGTACGTACTTATAGTTTCATCTGCTTCAAATGAAGAAAGATCTTTTTAAAAATCTTACGTTCAAGACCTCGATTAAGTGTTGCTTCTTAGACATTCCTGCACCTGCTAATAATAAACTATTCCTGATCCAGCAATTCCCCTACTCCATTTCCTGCCCTCCCCCCACCCCCCAAAAAACTGGCCTGATTGCAGTCCACATTCTCACATACAATTCAGTAAAATCATTTTGCTTCACAGCTGACCAAGGTTGAGGCTGTGGCAGCAGGTAAGGGCTCTGGGCAAAGCCAAGGACTGAACCTTTGGGCTTTGATGTGCTAAATGGCCACATAGTCAAAAGGCACCAGAACTAAAAGTTGGAAGGCCTATCTATTCCAGAGCCAAATCTCCAGCGCCATAATAGGATTATCATGATAACCACAACACGGAGCAGCACTAGCAGCCTTGCCAGGAATTCGTGTCTGCTTTCCTGTGGAGTTTGTCTACTTGTTTTCTTATACTTCCTACAGCACAATCACCCACTCATTTTATTATTATTATCAGGTGTTACTGGGGGCTAGACACAGGGCTCAATACATTGAGAGACATATATACCCTGTCCTCATTGAGTTTACCTTCTAATGGAAGAGACTGGTGCTAATCTAATAGTAACATAAATAAACACAAGATTGAAATTTGTCCTAAGTTACCCAAAGGAAAACAAGATCCCACAATAACATAAAACAGAACAAACACACTATTCTAATTAAATTAATTACAAACCCATAAGGAGGCTGCTCTTCTAAGTTACCATCTCTTCATCCCAGTTGCCAGTTGTCTCCAATAATGGGTTTTGAAAACTAGCAACATATGAGCTAATAAGCTTTAAAGTAAGTAAAATACTGAAGGAGGAAGTGCATTTTATATACTTGTCCTATCTTTTGCAGGCATAGTGTGGTTTATTATAATGGTTTATATGTCAAAACATAAAAGTATGTTTAGTACAAGCCCAATGTCTCACTGTCATTTGCTGTGATTCAGCCTTTAAAGCCTGACATGGATTCTTTCGGGGTGACAATTATATAATTCACAGACAAATATTAAAAGATTTATTGAGTTTTGTTGTAAAATACACTATGTCAAGTGATATAATCACAGAGATAAAGCCTACCAGTAAAAAAAAAAAAAAAAAAGATATGTTTTATTTCCATGTAGTTTGCAATCACTGGGGTGTAGTTACAGTACCTTTATCTTGAGAGGACTATTTAAAATTTTAATAGTTTTTCCTATGTATTTAAAAACTGAGTAACCCCAAAGTATTTAAACATGCTTTGTAGTTTCTTTTTCCTTAACACTTCTAAAATTTAGTAGAATTTTCTGCACTTCAGGATGACATTGACTATTAATGACATACTATAATAAAGGTCTACAAAAATCACTCCACTTTACTGTTATACATGTACCATTAGCCAGTTATTCACGTCTGGCCAAGATTTCTTAATTATAACACAAGACATGTTTTCATTAATCAGATCTCCAGGCAAATTTGTGCTAATATTAGGCATCTTCAGCATAATATAAGGCAATATGAATTATGCATATGGTATGGCTGGAATAATTAAAATGATAAGAATCCCTGTGGATTCGTGTCTATCAGAATTTACTATAGCCTGTGTACAGTATCACCAGTCAGTCCTGAAGAATGGATGGGTATACAGGAAAGGTATATTTCATCAAATCCTCCTTGTTCTCCAAATGGTTGAAGATGTTGAACGCAGGATACACCAGGGCCCAGCAATTCCACTCCTAAGTATACACCCAGTAGAAATGCATATATAAGTTCAAAGACTCACACTAAGATGTTCACAATAGCAGTATTCATTATAGAAATAATGTATAACTCTCCACCTGCCCATCAAAAGAATGGTATCTAACTTATGATACAGTCATATAATGGAGTAAAATACAGCAGTAACGATCACAGTGAAACTACATAAATACATGTGGATCCTGCAAACATAAATGAGTGAAGTATTTTTTACACATACAGATGGTATGATTCCATATGTCACACAAGAAACGTTTCTGAAATTCTGAGAATGTCCTGTTGCTTGATTTGGGCATTGGCCGCAAAGTTATAAAATCAGACTGTGAAAATTTGAACATTTATAATATGTGATCATTTTTCATGCATATTCTTCAATAATTGAAAAAAATAATTTGATTGAAGATGTAGGTCAGATAAAGTCACAAGGATTATTACTACTACTGCAGTTGCTGCTCAATTGACTGTCTCACCTCACACTTCTGGCAAGAAATAGGAAAAACTAAAGTATAAATGCCAGTTTTCTCAGCCTTGGAGTTCAAGTGTTTTTGAAATTATGCATATCTACAAGACAAATTTCATGTATATTTAGATTTTCATTGGTACTACCAAGTGCTTAATAAACCTCTTCACCATGATGTCAAGAATGGTGGTAGGTTTTTTTTGTTTTGTTTTGTTTTTTAATATATAAAGTTTATTTTGAGAGGGAGAGCACATGCACGAAAGAGTAAGAGGGAGAAGGGCAGAGAGAGAGAGGGAGAATCCCAAGCAGGCTTCTCACTAACAGTGCAGTGCTTGACGCGGGACTCAAACTCACCAACCACCCTGAGATCATGACCTGAACCAAAATCTAGAGTCAGATCCTTAACTGACTGAGCCACGCAGGCATCCCTGGAGTGGTGGTAGGTTTTAATCAACTGTTTGTTGTCTCTTAAGAGGAGGTGAATCATAAGACAAGATCCTGGAAGCTGTAGTTTCTATTCAGCAACATCCACTCCAAAACTAACATTAATATACACTTGTAAACCACATATAAACTTGCCAAAATTAAATACTTATCTAAATCCTATAAATATCATGTATGACTAGCATACCAAAAAACATTTCCCAGTGAGGTGAAGAAATATAATTACTAGCTGGACGGCTGCTATTTATGGGTATGTGTATGAACTACCAACCGGTGTTTTACAGGTGACTGTTATCTGAAGGACTGGTCTTCGTGGAGCCTGTGTCAGATAACCTGCGTGAATGGTGAGGACCTAGGCTTTGGTGGAATACAGGTCCGTTCCAGAGCTGTGATCATACAAGAACTAGAAAATCAACATCTATGCCCAGAGCAAATGTTAGAAACAAAATCATGTGATGGTGAGTGCTGCAATTCATGAAATCTTTTTAATTTAGTTTTAAGAGACAAAAGCGTAAGATATAGAATTTTCTGTTCAATAAGTAAATTTGCTAAGATCTCTTAAGACTGAGAATTAAGAGTAGGATTCTGAATTCTAAAAAGTTACAGGAAGAAAAATCTCTCACCTTTCAAAAATTAGATAAAAAATGTAAAAAATGGTTCACAGTTTTATTAGCTACAGAAGGCCCAGATAATTAAGAGCACATTATTTGGACACTCAGACAATCCTGATCATGTATGACTCTAACAATATCCTTTATTTAAGTTAAAGGAAACAAAGAAAAACTACAAATCCACATCAAAATGAGAGATTTTTATTATATTCTTATAAATTGATAAATCAAAGTATTGGTAAGAACTACTATGACATAACACATAAACATACATGTTTATGTGTCTATGTGTGAATGTATACACACATATAGAGCCATGCACCCAATATAAACAGTACATGACATTTTCAAAAACAACAGAGCATTAAAATGTCATACTTTGGGAACACAGAGGCAGTCTAAGTGAAAACAAAAGACTTTATATCTAGTGTAGAACATAGGTCCTCTCCTTCCTGCTTGTCTTTGCAAACAATTAAAGAGTATCACAATTAATAGCAAATGGGAGCCAAAATACTACTTTTTTTTACTGAAAAGTTGGAGACAAAAGCTTGGAATGTTAGTGAAGAAGGCTTAGAATAAAAGCCAAATGGGCTAGATGACTTAACCCAAGAATTAGGTATAATTATGCACCTTGTCAGTTGAATCTTCCCTAATTTACCAAACAGATGAACCATTCCCTACGTCCTAGGAGGGTGTAGGTAATGAAGTAGAGAAAAGCCAGGGGTTACAATAAATGAAACAGACCCAAGGAAAAATTTCTTCACCCCCAAATGACAACGAAATAAAATTAGAAATCAGTAACACAGCAATTGCGAAAGAAATGTCACCATGCACACAGCAGTAAAAACTGGAAACACTTCTAGAGCATTACACATCAAATGGTATGTGGGATTTAGCACAAAAGTACTTACAAGAAAACTTAAAGCCTGAAATGCCTAAATAGGGGAGTAGAAAAGATTAAAATGAGCTAAGCATTAAACTCAAGTAGAATGTAACTAATACAGATAAATATAAATTCAGTGAGATAGAAAACAAAATAATCAACAACCAATAGTTGACCAAACTAACTAAATAGACCACCTCATGGAAAAAATCAGGAAAAAAGAGCAAAATAACTACTACATCATATAGAGTAGAGTTTTAAAAATTATGACTAGAGGTGCCTCGCTGGCTCAGTCAGTTAAGCGTCTGACTCTTGATCTTGGCTCAGGTCATGATCTCCGGGACTCGTGAATTCAAGCCCTATGTAGGGCTGTGCACTGATGGTGTAGAGCCTACTTGGGATTCTGTCTCTCCTTCTCTCTTCCCCCCCAAAATGGATAAACTTAAAAAAAATAAAAATTATCAATAAATTTTCCTAATAAATATAGAAACTTCAAGATAATCTAAATTTTATAATTTATCAAGAAAGATACAGAATCTAAACTATGGATTATGCAACTATTAGAAACTCAAGTGTATCAAATATTTACTTATACATGAAACAAACTAAAACATAAATGGCTTTGAGTTTTACCAAACTTTTTTTTGTATTTTTATTTAATTTTTTAAAATTTACATCCAAGTTAGCATGTCATGCAACAATGATTTCAGGAGTAGATTCTTAATACCCCTTACCCTTTTAGCCGATTCCCCCTCCCACAACCCCTCCAGTAGCCCTGTGTTTGTTCTCCATATTTAAGAGCCTCTTATGTTTTGTCCCCCACCCTGTTTTTATATTATTTTTGCTTCCCTTCCCTTATGTTCATCTGTTTTGTATCTTGCAGTCCTCATGAGTGAAGTCATACGATATTTGTCTTTCTCTAATTTCACTTAGCATAGTACCCTCTAGTTCCATCCACGTAGTTGCAAATGGCAAGATTTCATTCTTTTTGATTGCCGAGTAGTAATACTCCAGTGTGTGTGTGTGTGTGTGTACCACATCTTCTTTATCCATTCATCCATCGATGGACATTTGGGCTGTTTCCATACTTTGGCTATTGTTGATAGTGATGCTATAAACATTGGGGTGCATGTGCCTCTTTGAAACAGCATACCTGTATCCTTCGGTTAAATACCTAGTAGGGCAATTGCTGGTTCATAGGATAGTTCCATTTTTAATTTTTTGAGGAATCTCCATACTGCTTTCCAGAGTGTATTCCCACCAGCAGTGCAAAAGAGATCCCTTTTCTCCGCATCCTTGCCGACATCTCTTGTTGCCTGAGTTGTTTATTTTAGCCATTATAGCTATTCTGACTAGCCTGAGGTGGTATCTCTTTGTGGTTTTAATTTGTATCTCCCTGATGATGAGTGATGTTGAGCATTTTTTCATGTGTCGGTTGGCCATCTGCATGTCCTCTTTGGAGAAATGTCTATTCATGTCTTTTGCCCATTTCTTCACTGGATTATTGTTTTTTTGGGTGTGGAGTTTGAGAAGTTCTTTATAGATTTTGGATACCAACCCTTTATCTGATATGTCGTTTGCAAATATCTTCTCCCATTCTGTCAGTTGCCTTTTAGTTTTGCTGATTGTTTCCTTTGCTGTGCAGAAGCTTTTAATTTTGATGAGGTCCCAATAGTTCATTTTTGCTTTTGTTTCTCTTGCCTCCGGAGATGTGTTGAGTAAGAAGTTGCTAAGGCCAAGGTCAAAGAGGTTTTTGGCTGCTTTCTTCATGAGGATTTTGATGGCTTCCTGTCTTACATTTAGGTCTTTCACCCATTTTGAGTTTATTTTTGTGTATGGTGTAAGAAAGTGGTCTAGGTTTATTCTTCTGCATGTCGCTGTTCAGTTTTCCCAGCACCACTTGCTGAAGAGACTGTCTTTATTCCATTGGATATTCTTTCCTGCTTTGTCAAAGATTAGTTGGCCATACACTGTGGGTCCATTTCTGGGTTCTCTATCCTGTTCTATTGATCTGAGTGTCTGCTCTTGTGCCAGTACCATACTGTCTTGATGATTACAGCTTTGTAATACAGCTTGACATGTGGGATTGTGATGCCTCCTGCTTTGGTTTTCTTTTTCAAGATCTCTTTGGCTATGCGGAGTCATTTCTGGTTCCATACACATTTTAGGATTGTTTGTTATAGCTCTGTGAAGAATGCTCATATTATTGTGATAGGGATTGCGTTGAATATGTAGATTGCTTTGGGTAGTATCGACATTTTAACAATATTTGTTCTTCCTCTGCAGGAGCATGGAATCTTTTTCCATTTCTTTGTGTCTTCTTCAATTTCTTTCATAAGCTTTCTATAGTTTTCAGTGTATAGATTTTTCACCTCTTTGGTTAGATTTATTCCTAGGTATTTTATGGTTTTGGGTGCAATTGTAAATGGGATCGATTCTTTGATTTCTCTTTGTTGCTTCATTGTTGGTGCATAGGAATGCAACCGATTTCTGTGCATTGATTTTATATCCTGCAAGTTTGCTGAATTCATGAATCGATTCTAGCAGTTTTTTGGTGGAATATTTTGTGTTTTCCATATAGAGTATCATGTCATCTGCAAAGAGTTAAAGTTTGACCTCCTCCTGGCCAATTTAGATGCCTTTGGTTTGTGTTGTCTGATTGCTGAGGCTAAGACCTCCAATACTATGTTGAATAACAGTGGTGAGAGTAGACATCCCTGTCTTGTTCCTGACCTTAGGGGAAAAGCTCTCAGTTTTTCCCCATTGAGGATGATATTAGCATTGGGTCTTTCATGTATGGCTTTTATGATCTTGAGTTATGATCCTTCTATCCCTGCTTTCTTGAGGGTTTTTATCAAGAAAGGATGCTGTATTTTGTCAAATGCTTTCTCTGCATCTATTGAGAGGATCATGTGGTTCTTGTCCTTTCTTTTATTGATGTGAAGAATCACATTGATTGTTTTGCAGATGATGAACCAGCCCTGCATCCCAGGTAAATCCCCCTTGGTCATGGTGAATAATTGTTCTAATGTATTGTTGGATCTGATTGGCTAATATCTTATTGGGGATTTTTGCATCCATGTTCATCAGGGAAATTGGTCTATAGTTCTCCTTTTTAGTGGGGTCTCTGGTTTTGGAATCAAGGTAATGCTGGCCTCATAGAAAGCGTTTGGAGGTTTTCCTTCCATTTCTATTTTTTGGAACAGCTTCAAGAGAATAGGTATTAACTCTTCGTTAAATGTTTGGTAGAATTCCCCTGGAAAGCCATCTGGCCCTGGACTCTTGTTTTTTGGGTGATTTTTGATTACTAATTTGATTTCTTTACTGGGTATGGCTCTGTTCAAATTGTCTATTTATTCCTGTTTCAGTTTTGGTACTTTATATGGAGTTTTACCAAAATTTAAAGGAATAAACAACTCCATTTTATGTGAAACCTTAAAAAAAAATTGTGTGGGAAAAAAAGATAAGGAAAATCCTCCCTGCTCCATGAGAGTGTAGCAGTAAAATTAGTCAATAATGTCACCAATGAAAACAGATGTCAATATCATAAAAGATTACTATCTAACCAAATCCTTAATACCATAATTAATCATGATGTAAGTCATACCAACAGAAAAAAAGTCACAGGATTTTTAAATGTGTTGAAACAATGTAGAATGCAACCTTAATTCACAATGAAAACTTCCAATTTAACTTGAACTAGAAGGAAATCACCTAATAAATGATATCTACAAAAACTAACAGCATACATGATAATATCAGGGAAAACATTAGAGACATTCCCTTGCAATTGCTAACAAAGCAAGGATGCTCACTGTTGCCAACCTGGTAAAGAAGGTTCCAGCCCAAGTGTAATCCGAAGCTTAATAGTTGAAAGCAAAGAAATAATTGGGCACATTACTATGATTTTCACATTAAAAATTTTAACAAACAAAATAGAAAAAAATCATGATCATCTCAATAA